GTCTCCATTCACTTACACGCTGTACGGTAAGACCGTTCAAAGAGAGATGTAAGCGACGATCTGTAGTTCTAGTCGACACCGAGGTATGTGATTCCAGCTCTAGTACATTCGTACACGCGAATGGCTAGACCGGAGGTTTGCTCTTCAGCCGCAATGTCCAAGGGAAACCAAGAAACGCCTCATGTGGCGCTGCATTGCGTCGCGAGAGGCCTGAAGCCGAAAGAGAGCCTGAAGTGCGAAACCCCCTTCTTCTTCTCCACAGCAACGAAGTTACGAGTGCGATTTCTATCATCCCATCCCATCCCATCTTGCCATGCCACTGCTGCGATAGTTTTGCCTGACAGCTGCATCACCAGCCACAACCTGAGGCGCACCCCCCTCGACGTCATGTCTTACTTTCGTTACCTAATCTCCCTGGCCCCCACCGCATCCTTCGCGTTTCTCGCCATCTTCGCTATCCATGTGCGTTGTGTTGAAAGCGCGACTCCGCCTCCATCACCCTTGAGCTGTCCCCCTGATCAGTGGTGGTACGTTCGTGAACGGAATAAACTCTTTGGCGCGGCTGTTCTAACTTGCCATTAGGGACGGCAATGATGGCCCGTGGTCAACCTTCGGCATGCAGATTGGGACGCCGCCGGCAAGCCTGAGACTTCTCCCTGCGAATGGCCAAGGTGCAGTCTGGGTGATTGTGCCCGAGGGTTGTACCAAGGATGACCCCACCGACTGTCCCAATTCGAGAGGCAACCTCTTCAAGCGGGACACATCATCCACATGGGTGCAGAGCGACCTTTACCAGTTGTCCGTCATCGAGGAGAAGATACTCGGGTACAACAACAGCCTAAACGGCATCTTTGGCACCGACACTGTGACGATCGGGTGGAAGGGCGATGGTGGTCCAACTGTCGAGAACGCCGTCCTCGGAGGCCTGGCTACGAAAGCCTTCTATCTGGGCGCCTTCCCATTGAATCCGTGGCCCGTCAACTTTACCGACATCCAAAACAACAAGCCAAGTCTTCTCTCTACCCTCAAAAACCAGACAAAGATCCCCAGCTTGTCATGGGGATATACGGCAGGCATGTACAACCGTGCACCAAAGTCTTTTGGAAGCCTCACACTCGGCGGTATCGACGTCAGCCGCTTCGAGCCGAACAAATTGAACTTTTCCATGGCCGTTGACATCTCCCGGGACCTTGAGGTTGCTATTCAGAGCATCACTACATCGGCTTCCAGCACTCCTCTGCTTCCCAAGCCAATTATTTCATTCATCGATACCGTGGTGCCTTTCATCTGGCTCCCTCTTGAAGCATGCAAACAGTTTGAGTCGGTTTTCGGCCTGACCTGGAACGCTGCGTCGGAGCTGTACTTGGTCGATGATACTCTTCATCAGAAACTGCTGGCCCAAAACCCTTCCATCACCTTTAGGATTGGACCCCAAGCAACTGGTGACGCGGTTGACATCAAGATGTCCTATGGAAGTTTTGATCTCCTTGCCAGTCCCCCCCTCGTAGCGAATCAAACCCGCTACTTCCCTTTGAAACGAGCAGTCAACGACACACAGTATGCTCTAGGCCGCACGTTCCTCCAAAACGCCTACGTCGCTGCCAACTACGAATATTTCAACTTTTCAATTTCGCAAGCAACTTATCCCGATACTTCAGTGCCGCAGCGCCTCATCGCTCTTCCGGCCAGAGGGGCATCGTCTGCATCTTCATCCTCCGGACTCAGCACGGGGGCCATCGTAGGTATTACTGTTGGCGGTGCGGCCGCCATCCTCATTCTCGTTTTCGCCCTGTGGCTCTTTATGAAAAACCGCAAGAAACCGAAGTCGCCGACATCACCCAGCTATTATCCGGCCGAGTACCAAGACAGTGTGCTCAAGGCCGAGCTTGGGGACACTCAGATTGCTGAGGCGGGCGGTGGCCCTGTTGCCCATGAAATTGGTGCAGGATACAAGCCTCCTGTGCGCTATGCGCCCAACGAGGTGTTTGAATTGCCCTCGCAAGGCTTGCCCGTCGAGGCACCGACGCCAGAGCACAGTGTTTACACTACACCATACACCACTCCTGGCACGACGCCATCACCATACCCACCGTCCCGGCGGCCATACCCTCCACGAAGGCCTGCTGGAGAGTAGATGCTTTCGTTTTTCATTTCTCTACTGTTTGAAGTTACTGTCCTGTTTGTGGCAACGAGTCCTTGCGCTCCGTCCCACATTCTACACGAAATTCCCTGGCGGAAGGTGCGCGACCCCATCTTGTTCAATTATTGTATTTTTAACTAGTACGATGCCCACGAGCAGTTGGATTCGAACACAAATCGAATGAACTGGATAATGTTTCATGTTATTTCCCTCATTGTGGACAAAGAATGCGTTGTGAACTTCGTGGCGCGCTTCCGCATCCGTCCTCGGTCATGGAATGCTCGTTTGCATCTGCTTCTTTGACAGCACCCACTAATACCATTCAGCATTATAAGCCGGACCTTCAACACCCACTTCGGATCAACTCTTGTGACCCTACGCCGTGATTCCTCCAGTTTGTTGCTGGCTTCAACCGCATAATCATTTTCCATCCATTTGCATCAATACTGTCCTCAGACCCCTTGCCACGATGTTTGCGAACGAGGCATTCTACCACACTCCGGAGAACAAATTTTTGATCCATTCGCTACTCTTTCTGGACCGCGAAAACCCGGACACCAACAGCGATTTCACTGAGATCGTCAACTGGATCGGGCAGGCCAAGCTTCAAGAAGGCAAATATGACCCGGTCTTGTGGGACAAGGTTCAATTCATGCTCGCCTACGTCAGCACGGGCAGAAGGCTGGACCAGGGCGTGGCCATCAACTTGTACAAGGCAATTTTGATGGGCATGGCCTCCGACCCGGAGGTGTTGCCTACTGTAGGTGAGGAAGAGAAGCCAGCGTCCCCCTATGCTACGACCTTTCTGCCCCCTGAAATCTCGTCTTCGATCCTCGAAGAGCTGGGGGAGAATGACGACGAGGCCCAAATCCCTCAATTCGATCTGTTATACGGTACCATCGACCGACTGGCATCCATTATTCTTCGCATGGGTCTCCTGACCGCCATCCCGCCCTGGCTCGGTCAGGGACCTGGCCTCATTGAACCGGAAGCAACCATCGCCGCTCGCATCGTGGAAGAAATGATTTTCGACATTGACGAAGACGGCGAAGGCAGTCCCATCATCGAGCACATGTACCGGCCAAGGACAGTCATCCAGAACATTCACATCATCGACAGATTCCGGGGCTCCGCTAGAGAATACGTATTGCCAGATTTCCCGCCTGCTCTCACTCCTGCGCAATGGGTTGCACTCCTCGAATACGATCGCAAAACGGATCGCCAGTTCCGCAAGCTCTCAGCCGTGCTCCAGGAATTGGACTGCGTGTCGTACGCAGAGCGCGTCATCGTTTCGGCCTTCCACGCGGGCATCAGACCCAGTCAGACATTCGCCCGGTGCAACAGAATGAACCCAACTCTCGTGGAGAACTTTGTGCAGAATTCGCTTGAAAGTGAGATGGTGCATCCACTACCGAGAAACGAATTCCTTGGAGCTTTGAACCTCTATACGAATCTCATGGGCGCGTTAAAGGTGTACTCAAAGGAGCTTACTGAGCCCTCCAAAACTTTCGTCCAGTTCCGTCCTGGCATGTCCTTCAGCCCGGTGGTGCTGCCGGAGGGAGTGCGTGACCTCAGCTGGGCCGTGAAGGAAGGCTTGAAGGATCTCATCCAGGCGCTAGAGGGGCAAACGGAGGATCTGACCAAGGCCGTCGATGAGCAAATCGAAGCCGAGATAATTCAGGAGGCCAACATGCCAGTAAAGGAGACATGCGGCTGCTGTAAGATTCCGTTCGATTGCATGAAGGGCACTTCACGCGTCTGTCCGGCGACGGGAGAGACATGGTGGGCGAAAATGCCGTGCCATCTCTTCATGGGCGAGACACTGTATATGGAGGTTATCGAGAGCATCAAGCTTGAAGATGATCAGGCGCGAGGTATGCCTCGTTTCTCCTTTCGAAGTGTTTATGCTAACTTCAGTTGCAGCGGATGCTCTACCCGCCGTCATTAAGCCTCGGAATGAGATGGTCGAAGTCACCTCGCCGCCTGAGCCCGAAAGACCGCGGGGCATATTCGGGAATCTCTTCAAATCCAAAAAGACGCCAGCGCCAGCAACCAAGCTCGTTCCTGCTCCGCGTGACTACACCAATTTCAAGTTCCAGGCGCCAGAGCCGACCAAGCCCCCTGCGGTTGTTGAATCGCCATGGATACTGCCGAAGCACAACAAGGAAATCTTAGACGAAATTCGAGCGTTTTCTCCTGAAAATTTGATGAGGCTGCTGCCGTTGATACTGCCGGCAATGGGAGAAGAACCCCTTTTTGACCGGTCGGGACAGCAGGCCCTGGAGGAGGCTACAAAGTTTCCTGGGCGCTGTGGCAGGCGAGCGAGGATGGCGAATCGGTTTACATGAGACGGCGTAGATATATGCAGATTCCTGAACTTTGCTGGCGCATGTGTTGGTTAAGAAGCTTGTTGCGTTGGAGTAATTCACACATCGTTCTCGTTGACCGGTACTAGTTTCCCAGTGGCTCTTTGTGCGAATGTCTCATCCCTAAGTCCACTTGGGGCAACAGCTTCCGGGGAATCGTTCATCGGTCTGGTTCGGGGGTTCCTGCCCATTTGGAGTTACTTGCCTGCTTTGGCGCTTGCCCGTGCCCACCTCCCAAGACACAAGGCTGCGAGGCGACGATCGTAAGTTCTTAAGCCGTTCAGGGCACGGCATGGTGTATGGTGGCGTCTTGTCTCCCAATGGGAGCTGACCCGAAGCCGAGATCGACATTGGCGCAACCAAACGGTTGAGGCGTGGCTGGCCTGCAAAGGATGGAGGCCTTCTCAGACGAAGTTCTGGTTCGAATCATCGGACCGTATGTACCCGTATTTATGCTATATCAATTGTTACAGTTGGATTTTTCATGATGTTCCGGCATGATGGCCGAGTGGTCTAAGGCGGTAGATTTAAGAGCCCTCATTGGCTAAACCTCTACTGGGGCAACCCGCGTGAGTTCGAACCTCACTCATGTCAATATCAACTTTTGCTTCTGCACTTCTTTTTTTTGGGAGTTGTGTATGGGCCACGCCGAGGCGGGGGACGCCGCCCCGTTAGCCCGTTGGCCCGCTAACAGCCGTGACAGCCTCAAAATCAGCCCAAGCGCGCGGCAGACGAATTCGGCGAATTCACTACCGCGACGCGAAAGGGGTTGAACGCCATTTGGCGCCTTCTGCAGATCGTGTGAAGATCTACAGCCCTGTCTCAGACATAAGCTTTCAGTGGGTTAGGGGAGGCTCTCCAGCTGCCTGTCCCCTCAACTGTTCACCGCATGTGTGGGTACCATGCAAGCACGGCCACCGTGGTCAAGAAGCCCTTTACATATGGGAGATGCATGTTCCTTGAGTATCTCTTCTCAATGATTTCCTCTGACGGTTAGAGCAGCTACTCCGGATGCTCGAGGAGCCTCTACGGCTTGGGGGCTAATAGCCGTCGGAATCCGATGCTCACCGCGTACTTCTTTTCCCATCCGAAACATCCTATCATGGCGATCCCAGGCCAAGGCAATTCAGTATCAGAGGCTGGATCCACCCCCGGGAAACCGGGACTTGGCCGGGGAATGCGGAGGTTATCCCTTTCCCATCATCTGACGGCTCAATGCCCAGTTCAACCAAGCGCACAGCGCAGCTGAACTGGCTGCTTTTCCAGGTACTTGGCCTGGTGGGCGTCGACATGCCATATATCTACTCGGCTGTCTGCTGAGACTGGTCCCGGGCCAGCTTCAACTGTCTTTATACTCTCCTTCCAGTGCTCTCGTTCATGCCTAAATATTTATACTTTTTGTAATCGAATCTACACTCTTTTATCGAATATGAGTTCCTCCAGTACGAACACCAAGGTGGTGTGGGACGCGTCGGCATCCCAGGGCCTTGCGGTTAATGCGGTGTGCATTACGTTTGGGGTGCTGATGACAATTGTCATTGCACTGCGGTTCTATACTCGGGTACATGTTATCCGCTCTGTGGGACATGACGATCGTAAGATTTTAGACCTTCTGCACTGGCCCACTGACTGACCATTACAGTCCTCATGTGTGCAGCATTTGTAAGATCGGATACTGTGATGGAAAGCTCACGCTCACGGAGACTAGGTACTGGCATGGATAGTGATAGGTGTTACAATGCAAGGTACCAACAACATCAACTCCGCTTGAACTTGACTAACACAGTCCAGCTGTGAAGCTTGGTGTGGGAACTCATTACTGGGTCATCGTCGCAAAGGGGGCCGACGTCGTGGCCGCCTACTGGCGTGTATGCTCCATTCCGAGCCTCGCAAATGTACCCTATGAGCTAACCAAGTTCCAGGCCCTGTGGTTTGTCGCTTTGGCTTACAACGCCGCCATGATGGTGATCAAGATCTCCGTCCTTGCTCTTTACCAGCGCCTCGGCGACAGGGGCCTCAAACGACTTTCTTTCGGCATGATGGGAATTGTAGCCTGCTCCGGCATCGCGAACATGCTCACCGTGGTGTTCCAATGCAAACCCCTCGACGCGGCATGGGATATTCGGATCAAGGAAAAGAAGTGCATAAACTTGAACGGCTTCTACTTGGCCGTTGCTGTTACCAACATCCTTACCGACTTGATGACATACACCCTCCCGATTCCCCTCGTTGTCAAGCTCCAGCTGCCGAAGAAGCAGAAGATAGTCTTGGGCATCATGCTCTGTCTCGGTCTCTTGTAAGTGCGGCACCGCCTCCCGGTGTCCCCGTACTGATAGGTTAGTGCCTGCCTCACTTCCATGGCTCGCATCATCACCGTACCCAAACTCCTCGTCACCAAAGACCCGAGTTGGACCATCGCTACCCCTACATACTGGGCCATCATCGAATGCTGCGTCGGCATCATCACCGCCTCAATACCCTCCCTCAAGCCCCTGGCCAAGCGTTACATCCCGCGCATCCTGGGCGAGCCATCGGGCCGCGCCTCCGGCAACCGCGGTGAGCACGGCACTTCCGAAGCCGAGAGCGGAGACGAGACATTGCGCAAGCATCGTGCTCACCGCGGCCATAGCGGCATCACGAGTAGGGCTACACTACGGTCCGCAGCATCGCTGAATTCCGACTCGGATATGGAGAAGGAGCAGGAGATGGTCGGGATTGGGCATGCGGAGTTGCGGACGGTGGTGGAACAGGACTTGGAGGCGGGGAGGCAGACGCTGTTGAATGTGCCCGAGGGGAAGATTATGGCGATAACGGAGATTGTGACGCATTTTGAGGAGAGATGATGTCGGCGTATGTTTTCTTTCGGATGGGGAGTTGACCGGGCGGCATTCGGGCTTTGAGGCTTGACTTTGGTCATATCAGCGTGGGTGGGAAGGTTGGTTGGATGGATTGCAATGACTTGGGAGGAGTTCTGAGCTGCACTTTGAGGGTTTGGGAACTATCCTTAGTAATTCCAGCGATGTCGGTTTCCGTTCATGAAGCTGTGTTGGCGTGCTTTCTTGATGTCACTCCATGAATGGGGCGCCGGAACGCTCTTGCCAAACACTCCAGGAGGTTTTAAGACCCCAGAACGGTACTACCATTGACATCACTTGGTTCATTCGGAGGCCATAAAATGCAGAGAGACTCAACATGTTAGAAAGTAAAACATGGGGCTGTTCTCACTTCTCCATATGAGAGATTGCGACAGCACGTCATGATAAGCTCCTGCCTCCCACCCCTCAGCCTTCCGATCACCACCAGGGCGCAATCACAGCAAACAAATGTATCTCTGCTCCAGAAGTCGCCCAGTACCATGATCGAACCAATGCGAGCCCCCAAGCTTCCAGAACATCCCCCAAGTCCGCACCAGACGATCCGCATTTCCCACCTCATATATCTGAGCCCCGTCCAGACAAGGCAGCCCTCCCAGAACCAATCACTTCAAGCACCGTTGCCCAACCGCCCAAAGTGCATTAGAACACACCAGCAAAATACAGTCTCTTTCCGCACTCAAAACCCCCCACGGTCATTGCCTCGAGATTACCCGCCCGCCCTTCGTCATGTCGCTATCTCGACCCCGCACCCACCCGCTCCGCTCATATCAGCCCAGTATCAGCGCTCAATACCAAACGCGCCCCGAAATGAGCCCCGCGGGCACGTATGATATCATGGTGCGATAAGCCTTAAGCGGCGCGCGCGCCCACGTTCGCGACCACAACTGCACCGAACACCCATCATGACACTTTTCCGCAGGATCGCAGCCTCGCTCGCGCTCGCTGGCCTCGCCTCCGCGCAGGCAGAAATCACACTCGACCAGATCTCGCCCAAGAACGGGCCGTTCCCCGTCATTCCCCTCCTTGGGTTCGGAACTTGGGAGCTGCCTAACTCGCGTGTGGGCTCGGAGGCTGTGGCTAATGCGATTGTGACCGGGTTTCGCCATTTCGATTGTGCGCAGGCGTATAGCAACCAGAAGGCGGTTGCGACGGGGCTGAAGGATGGGTTGCAGCGGGCCGGGTTGAAGAGGCAGGATATTTGGGTGACGACGAAGATCTGGAGTACTCGGTGGGTGGGGTGCGGCATGACGAGGTGAGGTGGAGCTGATGTGCGTAGGCATGGGAGTAAGATTCCATCGGGTCTGGATCAGAACCTCCAGGAGCTGGGCCTAGATTATATCGACTTGGTATTGATGCACTTCCCCATTGGGAGCGCAACTGGGAAAGCCGAGTACGATTACGTGGCTGTGCGTATGCTACCTCCGGTCCGAGATCATCAAGTTGACGGGACTAGACATGGAAGGAGATGGAGAAGCTCGTGGCCGGCGGAAAGGTCCGTCACATCGGCATCTCCAACTTCAACATCCAACAGCTGAGCGAGCTCCTCGGCAATGCGACCATCAAGCCATTTGTACGTCTGTCTCTTAGATCCGTCAGCTGTCACTAACTTCATAGACGCACCAAAACGAGCTTCACCCTTACCTTCAGCAAAAGTCTTTCGTCGAATTCCACAAAAAGAACAATGTCACCCTGACCGCCTACGCGCCCCTCGGCAACACCAACTCCGCCTACAGGCAGCGCGCGAGCCGCACCGGCGCACCGGGCAAGATGCTGGCGGACCCCGTGCTTGGGGAGATCGGTAAGGCGCGCGGGTGCTCGCCAGCGCAAGTGGCGCTGAAATGGAACATGCGGCGTGGTGTCGTGGTGCATCCCAAGGCGGCGAACAAGGACCATCAGAAGGAGAACTTCGAGGCGTATAAGTGTCCGTTGACGGCCGAGGATGACGCCAAAATTGCGGCCATTGACAAGAAGTATCGGTTTTGGAATCCGTGTAAGATGCTACTGCAACTGGAATGTTTCATGGGGCTCGATGGGTATCCGTGAGTGGCTCGGGGTTGGTCAGCGTATTCTTTGCATATAAGCTTTAGGTGTGCTCACCGGGAGTCTAGTGCTCTACTAGTTCCGAAAAAACCGACTTGTCGATAATAAAGGTCGGCTAGTTATCTTGCTGCTTCCGGAAGCAATATCTGTTCCAGAGAGCCTTCTAATTATCTGCACGATGGCTACCCTCCTATTCATGATCATGGTTTCCGAGAAGGCGAGATCGAAAGCCTTCGGCTCAGACTCATCGGGCGTGTCACGACCTGTGCAATACCGTACGTGGCATTCTTGCAGGGTCTTCTTTGTGTCTTGAGGAAGTATGCCGCCCTCGAGGGAGCCGTGTCGTCTCCTGAACCATACAGTGGTGGTGGGCGATTTGCCATTCTGCAAATGTAACTCTGCCACACCGCCGTCAACCCCGAAGTCTGGTAGTGACAGGGTACAATTGCAGCTGTTCCATGAATCCTTAGGTACGGCGTCCATATAGTAGGGTATGTTGCCTTGCGTAAATCTGATGAATACAAGATAGGGCACGTCAGGCTGCCAATTGCTGGAGCTATCAACCGGACGGTCCCTCGTGAGGACAACGGTAGCACTAGTTCCGAGCGGCGTTCGTGCCTCATGAAAGTGACGATCCACTGGATGTTGATCCGCGCTCAAAATACACAGCCTTGGGGA